AGAGCGGAGCAGCAGAGAGAGACAGAGTTACAGAATCTGAAGCAAACCCCAGGCTTTGAGCTGTCAGCAGAGAGCCCATCATGGGGCTTGAACTCACGAGATCATAACCTGAGCTGAAGTCGGATGTGCAACCAACTGAACCACCCAGGTGCCCCTTAAATGCTCAATTCAAATGATGTTCTCTCCAAGAAGCTTCTCCGATTCCTTCCCCTGACCTCACTCGTTTACCAACTAAAATCTGTATTTGTGTAAATATCTTCATTTCCTAGTATATCTTAAATTCCATAGAGACAGAGACTATCCTTTGTTAATATCTGTATGCTCGATTGTATTCGAAAACACAATACATGCTCCGCAAATCAGTGTTGAATTGAATTGGGATGTCACATTCTAAGGCGGAAAATCACCAGAGAAGCCACATTTGACCAATTCATTTATTTCCTTTCTCCTCTTGGACATTGAACAGAAAGTAAATTCTAGTACTTATCCAAAATGAAAGAAATGATGAAATATGTATAATAGTTAAATATCAGAGGTAAGTGGGAAATAAATGCAGATTGAGAAATCATAGGCATATAATCTCAGAGGTAACGGTCTTTTCTTATCTTCAGTCAAAGCCAAACGTTTCACATGCGATGTTAAAATGAGGATTTCATAACGTATAGGAATTAATAATAATAGCATAAGATTATTCACTTTCTATCTCTTTTCCAACCTTTCAATGAAATAGCTTGGCAGTCTTGCATAAAGATTTTTAAGTAAGATTCTGCATCCTGTTCATACTTCTGTTATATTTTAGTATGCATTTTGCATTTTGTCAATTTTAACACTCCATGTAGGTTACATCTAAAAAATATTATCAGTTTTCTTATAGGTTAATAAAAGCAGCTTGGACACATTCTACTTGAAGTAGTTATTGGGGAAGACATCACTACCTCCATAATTGGTCCATAGCCATGGAGATGTATATATATACATTTAATGGAAAATAGATGAAAAAGACTAAATAATAGATTGAGAGAAAATTACAAAATTATGATGAAAATAAGTGAACAATCACATGTAAGACAGCAGATTAATATTGAATGTTTGATACTACATAGACAAAAATCTAATGTTAAAAAGGAGAGGATGAAAGCTTAACAATCTTATCTCAAAGCAAATTATTACCTTAAAGATGTAGTCTCTCAACTGCAATGCAAGAAAGAATAGTATGAAAATGTGTTTTAATAATGCTAAAGAGGTAATACCGAGATATTCAGCAGATCAATAAAACCAATGAATATTACATCCCATGTATTTGAATTTAGATTTTCAAAACGTAAAATAGCTCATTAGTGATAAAGGGAAGTTAAAATTTATTTCTCTAGGCATGTGGGTGGCTCAGTCGGGTGAGCATCTGACTTCAGCTCAGGTCATGATCTCATGGCTCCTGAGTTTGAGCCCCACATCGAGCTCTCTGCTCTCAACAGTCTGTTTGGGATCTTCTGTCCCTCTCTTCCTCTGCCCTTCCCCTGCTTTCTCTCTCTCTTTCTCTCTCCCAAATAATAAACATTAAAAAATAAATAAAATAAAAATTTATTTCTGGACCTCTTGAGAATGAAGTTGGTTTTCTGTAAATTGTGAAGAGAGATATGAAACATTTTGATAAAATAATCCAGGCAGAATCAGGACAACTTCACTTTCGATTAACCAGCCTGAAAATGACTCTTTTAGCAATTGCAATCTCACTTTTTCATCTGGTCATTGAAGAAACCAATGATACAATATTCTATGGAATGTGGATGTGGCAAGTCATAAATAAAAAAAAAAAATATGTGTTCATCACTTTGCCATATTGTTACCGCTTAAATTCCTTCTCACCTTTGTTTTGTGATACTGGCTTTTGAAGTTAGTTGACTCTGATACCTTTATATATGCATATTAATCCATATTCGTGGGTGTTGTATTAAAATGTCATGTCAAGATTACTAGTTTATGGAATTATTTATAAGAAACCAATAAGTAGTCTTATTGGCTTAGCATATACAAAACTTCATGATACAAAGGAATGCAGTAAAGCCTCTATGATTGTTTCTAGGTGAGACTACCAAGTTCGAGAAAAATTAATATTGCATATTTCTCCAGAATATTTTGGAGAACATACCACCAATGTTATGAAACCTTTTTACAGACAGTAACAAAAACTTGAGAGCAATATTAAGAGAGGCATGATTTCTATGATATCTTTTTGTTTTTTTGGAGACTGTAATCCCTATTCCCTACTTTTCAAATTATTTAATACTATTATGAACTATTAACATAGACACTATCTAAATTATATGACTGCCAATTTAAAGGAGAAGGCATATTGCCGGCATAATTTAATTTTTTCAGACCATAACCTTAAGATACTAAAAAGGAAAGATGTTAGATAGGGCAGGATTGCAGCATGCACAAAATCTGGAACAGCAGAACTGTACTTTTGGTTTCAGTGTGGGTTTAAGCCTCTGAGCGAATTGCCATTGGATAAGTCCTTTTACCATTCTGAGTTACAGAATCCTTAATTCCTTAATGTCCTATAGATTTGCGAAAGTGCTCTGTGAATTGGAAACAGAATTTATCAGTATTAATTTAGGCTTGTGTAATTATTCTTTTATTTGCCTTGCCCGATCCTGTAAACCCTTAGGAAAGCAAGCGTGATTTTCACATAAGTAGTGCTGAATACCAATATTTTAAACAAAATATAATGATAATCTGTATAAGGTAAACAATGAGAGTTCCAAACTTGGTTTTGTTTGTTTTCAGCAATCCTTGAAAATATTATGAAATAATTTGACTGAGTAACATAACTTCAGGAAGTGGATTTTAAAATATAAGTCATAATCACAATTTAGTTGATAAAAATGCTATAGGTAATGTAATATGTATAAGAAAAAAAGGGAGTGAATGTTTGAGGGAGGAAAGTTTGAAGGAAACGTTTCTCTCAAAGTGAAATCTTTTACTTGTAAGACAAAAAGGGGAATACATATCTTGACCGAATGAGTGAGAAGTCAACTTCTATGATACAAAATTTGTAAAACATCACTGAAATCTTCCCTTTTTTAATTAGTCCTTGTAAGATACTCATTACCACTTAAAGTAGTTTTAATAAATGAAGTTTTTTTCAAATTTTATTTATTTATTTTGAGAGAGAGAGAGAGAGAGAGAGAGTAGAAGGGGCAGGGAGAGAGTGAGAGAGAATCCCAAGCAGCCTCTGTACTCAGCACAGAGCCCAATGTGGGGCTTGAACCCACAAACTGCGAGATCATGACCAGAGCCAAAACCAAGAGTAGGATGCTTAACTGTCTGAGCCACCCAGGCGCCCCTAAAGTTACTTTTTGATAACTCTCTGAAGTATTTGATTATTCTCTCTGAAACAGTAAAAGAAGCTGCACCCTCTTTTGAGAATACTGAGAATATAATCCCTAATGTCCAATGGGATATTCAGTACTATTCGTGTCTAAAATTAACAGAAAAAGCATTGGTGAACCATGTGCAAGCATCTCCCAAAGCATGTAATAAAGAGTTTGAGGATGGTCCATTAACTCACTGATCAATTTCTGTGTGCTATATTGATGCTATAGTGACCTTTAAGAATTCATTCTCTTTATATCCTACAAAGCATTGTTCTCAACAATTGTCAAATAATTGTATTTTGTGGGCAAATTTACTTTAAAAAGCATAACAGTTTGAAGACTTGATACTTTAGCGGCGTGGAAGAAGCCTATAATATGTGCCCCACTCCTGACTCTCTTCTAATGGCGGCATATAGCCAGACAGGATTCTTCATCTGAATGACTCTGGTCCCTCAACCCTGGTTAGACTGGTGAGTCAACTGACAGGTTGCTTTCCGCTCACACTTGAAAGCAATGAACGGCATGGTAGGCGTAGGGACTCTGTTACTCGTTAAAAGATTGTCATTATGAAAAGGTAATGTCAAGGCAACATAAGGTCAAATTCCTATGGTAGTCTATGCCACCTAGGCACAAAGTACAAGTACCCTGAAGGCAACATATTGTAATTGGCTTCGTTCTTTGTAACTTAGGGTCCTTGTATAACACTTCAGTGGTGCTCAATGAAAGAAACAGAGAATTCAACAAATAAATGAGCAAAAGAAAGAATAGGTAAGCCATTCAGTCTATCCCAATAAGCCTAAAACCATAAAGATCTTCTGAGATGTGGACAAGCTGTGCACCCTTCTTGATATGTATTATGCTGTCAGAAGAAAATTAAAAGAAAAATCCAATTGGGCAGATTATTGTGTTTTTCTTTTTAATTTAGGAGATGTCATTCACGGAGAATGAGACGGTAGAAATAAGGGATATGTGGAGAAACTAGGGAGAAATGCAAACAACTACATCCAAGTTATAAAGAGCAAGGTGCATTAGAACTTACCCATCTGTTTTAACTCACAAGACTGTGACCCAGGGGCCACTCCTTCGTTTACTGTCTGCTTCTGGGGCATAGTAGCCCAGGGCAGACACACTGTAGGAACTCAGTGGATGTTTGTTGAATGAGTAGAAAGAGAGGCTTCTTATTTTACAATGCCATGGTAAGTATATATTGACTTTAAAATGCTATTTATAAATATGTGTTTTCACCCATCATGTGAGATTATGAGATGGTTTTTAAAAGGGACTTTTTCCGAAATCCTTTTTGTTCTTGCCCCAAATTAATTTCAAACCAACTGTAAAAATTAGAAGCCACAAGCATCTAGGCTATGACTCTGTGGTAACCATCTGACTAGCCAAAGTAGCACAGTTATCTGAAAGACGGTTAACCCATTCCTGTCGAGAACCCAGTGAGATTACTGTCAAAGAGATTTTTCAAAAATCTTATTTTACCAGCAAACAAATAACTGTCAAAACAGTTGTGATACCACAGTTGCTTTCCAAAATAATCACGATCGGTGTCCCTGTGGTACACAGTGTATAGCACATCACCTCCATGTTAATGAATTCAAGGGAAGGCAACACCGCTATTAGTAATAGCTTTTTATTCGGAGTCCTCATTTTCCAGATAGGTCACATTAAACACAGCCATTAAACAATAGCATTGAGATAAATCCATACAATGTATGCTGCTTTTGTTGTTGTCCTTGTTCACCAATCGCTTGGTGCAGCTAAGAACCTTATGGAGTGATGGGGCTGATGAATGAGAATAGCCAACCTGCAAAACACTGGGGCCAGGAGAGTCAGACTTTAATCAGGTCTCATTCAATTATGTTTCAAATCAACACATCTTGATAGCCAAAACTCTCATTTGAATTAATGCTGTGATAGATGCTGTCTGTTGTCAAAAGAATATAATTAGACAATAATGAGTGGGCATATATTATGCCAGACCTCAGTCTACTTGTTGACCTCAGCAACTTCTACTCCATTAGGCAACAAACAGCTTTTAACCTAGTTCTAATAAAGCATACTGCCCTACTGCTACATGACTTTTTTTCTGGTGTCATTTTTAAAATTGAGCACTGCCTAAATCCTTTAAAGGGAAGTCATGTTTTACAAAATCTCAGGAAAAGGAAACAGAGTCAATTTCCCAACTAGGAATTCACTTAATTCATGGAGTAGTGAGCCAATCTTTGTATATTGACTGCAATAAGGATACGTATGTAAGGTTAAGAAGTAATATGAAAGCATTCTTTAAAATTGCATGATATGTCTCTTTAATGTTTACTTTGGTATAGGTATAACTAACACTGATTCTCACTACTTTGAACTTTGATGAAAAGATCTTTTATCATTAACATTTAATGAAAAGGTTGTTTCGTTACTGATTTTTTTTTTTTAGTTCATCGGTAAACAATTTTTAGAACTTTTTGACTTTCTTACAAAAATTTCTATAAATTCTTAGTCTGTGCTTCACTTCAGTTATTTAAGGACCTAAAAGACAAAGTATTATCAAATTATTCTTTTTGAATGTGTGGGGTTTTTTTGAGGGGTTGGTATTTGGAGGATGTGAATTAAGACAATTTTTCCACATTCTGAATTATGCTGAAACCCCTTGAAACATCACTGTTGGATCATGCATCACCCCTTAAAGCAAGTTGCTCTGTAGTGGGGTGATTTTGGCATCTCATTGACTTCCTTGGAAGCCGAGCACCAGAGGTCTGTGATAAAGGCAGCCGCCAGCCAAATGAATAAAGGTGAGATTCCCTCAACTCAACTATAAGAGCTTAGAGTCCTGACTGCTGAAATTACCACCAACTTGTAAATAAATAATCACTACTAAATACAGATAATGTGTTAAACAGCTAACACTAGTAAATCACTGGTGACAGAGAGCCTAACGGTAAATCCCTCACACATTGGCACAACCAATTCTTAAAATCTTATAGTGTTTTAATGTCTTCAGACATATAATAAATTGAACAACTGGTTACTCAGCGTTAAGAATGTTTTAAAAATAAACCCTACTCTCTTTGTTGATCTCATTTACATACTGCCTTAGATTGAACTACGCGGCTATCTGCCTAGTAAGAGAGAAGCGACACTTGGTAAGACTAAATGGAAATTCGTTTTCCATCAAATTTCAGCTATCAAGCTAAATCAACCTGTAGTCTCCTGGCAAAAAATAACATCATATAACAGAGACAACACATTTCAGATACATAAATTGTCCAAAATATAGAGAGTCGATTAGGTTTCACATGTACAAGATCCCTTCTTTGCTAATTTAAACATTTATGAATAATAAAAACCAAGAGTAGAGCTTTGGAAAGGCTGTTACTAGGAACCAAATCCAGTTCTCGAGAGAATAAGGCTGATGGGAGTTGTCCACTCTTCCCTTTCACAGCGGCTTTGCAAACGAGGTACAGTCTAAAATCTTGACGGCATTTGACGGAAATATTTTCAGTTGAATTTTTTGAGGTTTAAAATTACAAAACTTAATTCAGTTCATTGTTTGTTTTTGCTTTTGTTTTTGCTTTTAATATAATGGTTTTATGACATTTATGCTGTTTCTACACTGGCTTGGTGGCCAGAAAAGAAGGCACAGAATTCTCCACCAGTTTGCAAATAATGCATTTTTCTGCTCCAGTGCACAAACAGCCTTTATTTAACTCAGCACCACATTTTGTAAGGTATGGGCTGGAAACTGTTTGTCATGAAGCTGTAAAATGCCAAAAATTTTCGACGCTGAAGGAAAATGTCAATCAAGGCATTTTCCCATCTGCTGCTACTTCTGCAAGTGCTAATTTTGTTTTTCCCAATTCCTGAAATTTGAGGTTTCCTAGCCTCATATGGAAGTAAGTTTGAAACTTGCTAAATGTCACAAGAAAAGGTGTAACCAAAGGAAGGAATAGAAGGTGTATTGTTCTCGAAGGACGCCAATAAAAGGAGGCAGAAAAGTACTGAGAAAAAGGAAAAAAAAAAAACATTTTGCTAAGACCCAGACCTCTTGAAAAACACTACACAATGCAAGTAACCTTTGCTGGTACCACACATGCATTAAAGCATTTTTCATGGTTTTGAAATATAATGGGAACACACATCTTGAACCACGTAAGATACTTTTGAGAGCCAATCAACGTTATGATATCTACATAGGCAGAAGCTGTATGTTATTGGAAAAACGTGAACAAGTTTCAGGTATTGGTACACATGTAATTCTTGTGACTTAGCGTGACTTTAATAAAAGCTTCTACAAGGACTTGCACGTAACCATGACTGACGGATGTATCTTTTGACCTTTCAGTTAGCTCCATCAGCTCACTCAAACACATTTTGAACAGATTATGTACTGTAGTACTTGGTAGACTATACATTAAACAAGAGACTTTGCTCTGAGGCACTGCTTCCCACATTCCATGGGGAAAAGGAAGCAGGAAAAAACAAAACTCATAGAGTTCGACAGCTACCGAGGCAACACTTGCCATTTACAATATAAGCCCAAATATTTTTGCAACACAACTATATATTAATTTAATAAAATACACAATATAGCTCTTATACACTCAACAATTTGGCTCATATGCACTGAATCTGCAATAAATCAATAAAAATATGTCATTTGATGTAAACACATTGAATCTTCTTACATTTGCACATTTAAATGGTCATGTGATTTGTGATGTCTAAGACATTTTCACTTTCCTGAGCTATTTTAGTGTCCAGAAACGAATGAAATATATTGATCGTGTTCATTTCCTCCGAATATTATCATTCAATAGTAACTATTCTTCAGGTCAAATTTAAAACATATCCATCATTATTTGTATGTTTGTTGGACACTAAAATGCTGAAGAGGCATTTTAAGCTTTTAAAAAAATTTCTTCTCCTTTAATGACGTGAATTAGTCTATGTGTGTGCAGGACAAAATGGACTATATCTTTTTACATTTAACTTTTGTACGACATGAAGTGTCTTACAAATGACCAAGTTTTTTTTTTTTTTAATTTTTTTTTTTTGACTGATGATATGGAATGTCCTTTGTGTTTATATGTGTGGCAGGTAACTTTGTACAGAAATGTTTACCACAAATATGTGTTAATGTTTGGGGTAGCTTGGACTACTGCAAGGTCTTTTCGGGACTTTAAGTAGAAGCCTGTGATGACGGCTAGAAATCCACCACAGATCACAAATTATGACCCTGCTTTGTATGGGGTTTATAGGTAAACAGTTAAGTCAGCATAAATCACGGAGGACAGTCTCAGAGTGATCAGAAATACTTCAACTCTCACGCTGCATACCTTCCTAACAGATTGTCAAAAGGTAACTCGCCTCCTCATCCTCCTTTGTCTTCTTTCCTTTTTCTTCTCTCATTTTCTTTTCTCTTTCGGCATCATTAATTCTGTCCTAATATAAGTTTGGTCAAAACAAAACCATTGTTATCTCTGAAAAAGAAACAGCAGTGAAAAGAACATACTTGTGGGCACTTCAGATGTTCACTAAAAGCCTTAAAGCAGCATTGGTCTTTCTTCGTCCCTGTGAAATGGGTTGTCACCAGGAGGGATCATTTTTAAATTAACAGAAGACACAAGAAAATGCCAATGCTTTTTTTTTTTTTTTTTCCCCCTCACTTTCTCACAGCCACAGGGTCATTTCCCCGGCAGTCCTGCAAAAGCTTATCAATCTCTCTCACGACTTCCTCTGCATCCACCGATTCTCTGCCCAGATCCCTGCTGGGGTGGTCAAGCTGTTCAAGAACAGCACCCATCTCGCTGGAATCCCGGCTGGCTCTAGAATGCACATCTGCAAAGACCCTTGCCATCTGATCGGGAGCCATGAATGGAGGGTCTCTCGGTTGCTTACTGGGTGACAGATACTGACTGTCAGTGGGCAAGTACTGGCTGCTTGCTTCGGCCAGGCCTCCTGGTTTCGCTTCGCAACCATCCAGAGAGCCTTTTGTTGAGGTGCAAGGCTCGATGCATGCCTTCGTTGGGCTGCTTGATGCTGAGGGGACCTCTTGGAGGAGAGGGCTCAGGGCACGTTTGGCTTTTAAATAAGGTTTAACATTGGCAATGAGAATAGTGTGCTCTCGCTTGTCTTTTCCAAATGTACAAAAAGTCTTTTTCCCAGTGGGATTCACAGTTTCGTAAGTCTCAGTCTCAACATTAGCTTCAACTGTGGGTACAAAGAGATTTGTGCGGTAATCTGCATTTTCAGCCTGATTGGCTGCAGGGAACTGTGGCATCCAACACCTGTCAGAATGACCAAGCACTCGGCATTCATCTGTGCAATTAACGCACTCTTCTGGTTCTGCAAAACAAAAGAGAAAACAGCAAATCCAATCATTAGGGTTGCTTTTAAATTTCTACTGAGGCTGCGATCAGCTCTCAGTGGGCTTGTTTGACCTCTGGTCTCTTAATTAAAAAGGAAAAGAAAACAATAATTAAAACATTTCAGGATGGTTGCATAAACCTGCTGGTTGAGACAATGGTTTTATTTAAGTCTATTCTCTAGATATTAATGAATTCCCATAGCCTGGGAAGAAGTAAAAAGTGGCCATTGGAGAATTATTCTCAGTGGAATAGAACATCACTGTAAACTAACCTCCTGGAGATATCAGTTAGTCTTTGTTCTGTATAACCCATCCTGGAAACAGTGAACTTCAAAAAGGATTACCAGGATTAATTTTTCAAATCAAATAATGGGGCAAAAACTAGATCACATACTTCCATAACAAGCCCTAAGCTGCTTTTTTTTTCATGTTTTATCCCTATTTTGCTTGTAATTGTTATTTTGGTGACAGTCATGAAATAAAAGGTTTCCTTTAAAAGCCTACCTTTCCTACTGAGAGGAGCAAATGGAATTTTCTATCAGAATATGTTATGAATAAACTTGTCAAAAAGTGCACATTCCTATTTTATTAGATATGGGTATGGATCATGCAATCAGTTTTCTTCACTTCAGTTTTTTTTTTTTTTTTTTTTTTTTTGTGTAAGTAGGTGAAAATGGGTTTAGTCAACAGAGTTCAGATGAATGACAACTCATGATTTCCTGTTTTCCACGATAATGTCTTCTGTGAAAATGTTTGCTTCTCTCTTTTGCCAATAGGCATACAGAGAATCTAAGTAAAGCAGTCTTTAATGATCTCTCTTTCAAAGATGCTGAACAGAAAATATGAAAGAAAATTCCTTCATAATGACGATAGCTGCATAATTCCACTGCCCCAATATTTTGAACTATAACTGAAATACCTCTTCCCAGTTGTCACTTTCATCTACAAATGATTGTTTCCCCTTATATTTAATGGTTCTTTTTAAATCAAGGACCTTTTTTTTTTCCAGGAGAGGATATTTACACTTCACCTCTGTGTGATGGGACTAGAATTCCCCACACATTTAGCAACCCTTGGGGCAGCCATTTAATTGATGTGAGAGGATCTCTACAAATTCATAGTGTCCTGTGCAAGGGAAAAAAGGCCACATGGAAAATACTTAAAATAGAAAGCACCATATTTAATAGCCCTGATACATTATACAGTTACTGTTCAAAGTCATATGTAAAATCTGAGTTCATATTTAAAACATATAAATAATTCCTTATCCAAAAAAGAAAACATAAACTACAAGTTGATTTATCTCAAAAGGTTTTAGGATAAAAGAATTTCTTATGAGATTAATTTTTTTCTCGAAAGAAGTTAGAATAGTGTCTTGACAGAATAAAAATATTGTGGTTTTTCATAACACGTGTCATTCATATTGGTGAAATGTTAAAAATGTATTCAGGTAGCTTGCCTGTATTTTAATTTTGTCATGTTTTCAAAAATATATTTCCATATGAATGGATGAAATATATTAATTTTATTATGTAATGCAGGCAAGAATAGTGAACTCAAGTACTCATACCTAGAGACTCAAATACTATCTGTTTCTTGGAAGATTGTTAGACGGACACAAACAGCAGCAGAAAAATCCAGCATTATACATTTTCTAGGAAGCCTTCCTGTATGGAATTAAAGTCAAACAGAAATTTGAAAACAAATGGATATTAGAAAATTTTCATATCAGGTATCTGTTTTCTTTACCTATTCTGCATGGGAATCATAAAAGTCACCTTTACATCTGTGTCTGTTTGTGTTAGAAAGAAAATACGTATGATTTCATTCAACCAATTTTGTCCTCCACAAATATAGAATACTGTCTATTTCATTAGATAATATTTTTGTAGCTTTTAGAGCCATGACTTCTAAAAAATTCATTTACAACCAATGCACTCTCTTCGAAATATGCTAACATAGTTTTATATTCCAATATTGACTGGCCTTCAATATCAGCAATTTGGATGGCCTAGCACTGAATAAATTCAATATGAATTTAAAAGGGGAGTAAAAGAGATAGAATAATGCAGATGTATGAAAGTATAAATCGACCTTGAATTTGAAACCATCAACATGAAATGATTGTTTGCGCTTCACAGCTGAAAAATCTGCAGCTTTTTACTTCACTCCTTCATGTCCCAACCTAAGGAGCAAATTCTAAGTATTGATCATGATACATTACAAGCTGTTCACCTTCTGATTAGACTGTAATTTTGATCACAGCGGTTCCCAGACAGTGAAGAAAATCTAATGGACACTTTTGTACAAGCAACAGAAACCATGAGCAAAAAGTGAACTATAATTGCCGAGGGTCAAATAAGAAAGAATTTATGAGAAAGTGAAATTATTTCTGAAGGAACATAAATAAATAGATGAATAGGTAGGTACAAAGAAAGAGACACAGGTAGTATATAACGAATGACCACATAGACATAGAAAGTAGACAAAATGAGGGGCGCCTGGGTGGCGCAGTCGGTTAAGCGTCCGACTTCAACCAGGTCACGATCTCACGGTCCGTGAGTTCGAGCCCCGCGTCGGGCTCTGGGCTGATGGCTCGGAGCCTGGAGCCTGTTTCCGATTCTGTGTCTCCCTCTCTCTCTGCCCCTCCCCCGTTCATGCTCTGTCTCTCTCTGTCCCAAAAAAATAAATAAACGTTAGAAAAAAAAAATTTTTAAAAAAAGAAAGTAGACAAAATGAAAAACAAAGAAGAAAAAAGGAGAGAAGAAGGAAAGAAAGCTAAGTGGAGGGAGAGAGATGGGAGGGAAGAGGAGCTGTACGGAAGGATTCCTGTCATGTATACCTTCTCCTATGTATTTTTAAGATCCCCTCAGTACACTAAGTATTCTTATTATAAAATAATAGTGTGGGGCACTTTCTCAAGATCTAGAGCTACAAAGGTAAATAATGAAACTTCTGCCTGTACCGTAGGGAAAATGGAACCCAGAATAGATATGTCAAATTCTATACAACAGAACTGAAAAAGAAGCAAATTATATAGACAGCCACTATTTGCATAGATTAGATATTTGTATCAGAAACCAAACTCAGAGACCCTGGGTAGAAGTAAAAGTAATTGATCCTAGTCCAAGATTCACTTTTTTTCTTTTGGACTAATGTGAGATTACCAAGAAATTATTTACCCTCATTTAATGATTTCCTCAATATAACATGATTACCCTTTCACAAATGCACCCTTGGCCAAGAAAGATATCATAATCCAAATGGTGTGCAGATGAGAAACTGACAGATAAGCATGATTATATTACAAACAGAAAACTATTCTGAAGTCCAACAGCTGGAACTCTGGGCAATTCTGCCTGCAGGGAAGGTTTACAGTGTCACATTTTTAAAATGTATGATTCCTTGAAGGATCATGTGACAACCTGATAAATTTAAGCACTTGTTTAGTATTAAGAATTATTTTCTATGCTCTTATAGACACATCTGAGTATTACACAAGCTCTCAAAAAGAGGAATCTAAACATAGTCATCTTAATTATTTTAATTTTCCATCTTAATTTATATATTTTTGCAAAAGATATAAAGTCACACAAATGATTATAGTACTTGCAATGCAGCTGCACAACAAGCCACACACACACACACACACACACACACACGTAGAGATCTTTATCTGTGTGTGTGTGTGTTAAATTTGACCTTTCTCCAGGATATAGTCCAAACAAAATTTTAAAACTGAAATGTATAGCCAATGTATTCCTGAAAATTTACTAGCAGTTATTGCCATAAGAGAAATACAGATGAAAAAATGAAATGCACAGAAATGTTCCATATTTATAATTTAGGAGATAACATACATACATATAAAACGCACATATATATGTACACATTTTTATATAAAGCATGACATGTATAATGTACATAGGTAGGTATAAATCAATCTCCAATAACATTTTAATCTTTCCCTTGGCCCTACAACTATTGGTGCAAAATCCGTGATTGGATCAACAACTTGACTACCTCTGATTTTAGAACTTTATATAATTCAAATTGATTTAGACATAAAGATGTCTGAAATCTGCATATTCATATTGGCTGACATGTCTGAAAGCTTTCTTTTTAACCTAGACTAAGCAGTTTAATAACTTAATCTTAGTGATAGTAGGCAAGCAACCGTTTGGTGCGAAAATACACCTTCAAAGGAGCTGTCATTGTGGAAGTTACATCCTGCAAGGAAAAAAAAATATTTAGGTAAAACATCAAACTACCTGCCCTTAAATTCTTGGGTTTTAGCTGTCTTCCATAAAGCTTTCCATAACTTCATGTTTACAATGCGATTTAAACATTGTGATGTCACTTTATCAATAGGGGTGCAGAGCCATCTCAAGGATAGGTAAAAGGTACCAAACATTACTATGTATAAGATTATAATTTGAAGCCAAATCACTATTTAAACCAGTAGGAACTAATAAAGATTAAGGGCGCATTCGCTAAACATGATTATTTTGGGAAGAGTCAGGGGAAACAACCCTTGCGTATCATGCATGACTCGGTGGTGTTCATTACTAAGGGAACGTGTCAAGAAGCCAGCCCCCATAAAATTTCCTACTCTGGAGTACATCTACCCCTTTATTCTAGTCTCGCTCACTCTCAGGCCGGAATTTATCACAAACCAGAATCAAGCATACCTTCCCTGTCTTCAAAGCACTATAGCACACTACCCAAAGAGAGATGCCTGGCAACTGATTTGTAACTACTTAGGGAAATATTAGAAAACATAAAAGGATTTCCTCCCCTCAGTTTCCATGTGACTGCTGCCTCCAGAGCCCAGATACTTGTATGAAAACATGCATATAATTTCTAGCATAAGAATTTCAGATATGCTTCAGATTTAATTTTTTTTTTTTAGATTTAATTTTTTATAATGAAGAAATAAAGGTGTCACAGAAATCCGAAAACCAAACTCCACAAGTCA